CTTCAAGCCATACAAGGATTTCTTCAACCTGCAATATAAATGCTTCTTCCCTGGTTGAACGAAGCCCTCTGGCTGCTGCATGTAAATAGGCTCTGCGAGATCACCATGCAAAAAAGCAGTCTTCACATCCATCTGCTCCAAATGCAAATCCCAACTAGCCACCAATGCAAGTACAGCCCTGATCGAAGTATGTCTAACCACAGGGGAAAATGTCTCATCATAGTCAATCCCCTTTTGCTGTGAGTATCCTTTAGCCACCAATCGAGCCTTGAACCTTTCCCCTCCTTTTTCTGTTACCGATGACTTCCTTGTGTAAATCCACCTACAACCAATAGCTCTCTTCCCTTCGGGAAGAACATCCAACTCCCATGTCTGATTCTTGTGTACAGAATTCATCTCTTCTTCCATGGCAGCCTTCCATCTATCATTATTCTCACAAGAAACAGCCTCCTGGAAAGTACAAGGAATCTATCATTATTCTCACAAGAAACAGCCTCCTGGAAAGTACAAGGATCCACACTGGTGATCGTAAGAGCAAATGCAACCATATCCTCATAACCAAACCTGACCGGAGCTTGTATATTGGTACGCCTCACTCTATCCCGAGCTAACTTGTAGCTCTCTGGCACATCAGTTGGGCCAGAAACATCATGATCAACATCATCAGGTGCAGAACTCGAACTCTCTCCTTTATCAAGAACTGCTGGAACATGTTCCAACTCCACCTGTACTTTATCCGCATCTGATCCCAACATAGACTGTTCATCAAACACTGCATCTCTACTAATCACCGTCTTCTTCTCAATTAGATCCCAAAACTTGTATCCCTTCACACCTTTCTTATAGCCCAGAAAAGTGCACTTCTTTGATTTAGCATCAAGTTTTGACCTCTCATCAGCAGGAATATGAACATAAGCAGGACAGCCAAAAATCTTCAAATGATCAAAACTAACATCATTACCTGTCCATACTTCTTCTGCAACTTTGCCATCTAGAGATGCACGTGGTGATCTGTTAATTAAATAACAAGCCATACTTACAGCCTCAGCCCAGAAACTCTTTGACAAACCTGCATTCAGTCTTAAACACCTCGCCCTCTCAGCCAGTGTCCGATTCATCCTCTCAGAAACACCATTCTGCTGTGGTGTTTTACGCACTGTAAAATGCCTTTGAATCCCATGCTCCTCACAAAACTTCTGGAATTGTGAATCGGTGTACTCTGTACCATTATCAGACCTTAAGTACTTGATTTTCCTACCAGTCTGGTTCTCCACCTCAGCCTTCCATAGCTTGAATTTAGCAAAAACTTCAGATTTATGCTTCATGAAATACACCCAAACTTTCTTCGAAAAATCATCAATAAAGGTCACATAGTACAAAGAACCACCAATCGATGTCACTCTAGTAGGACCCCACACATCTGAATGTACATAATCCAGAATTCCTTTTGTCTTCTTCTTCCCAGTCTTGAAACTGACTTTTGTCTGCTTTCCCAGAACACAAAACTTGCAGAAATTGAGTTTGCAAGTTTTAACACCATGTACGATATTACTGTGATGAAGGGGAGGATCACTGCAGGGAACATTTACAAACTGTTGGGAAGTACAGTTGTAGGTGGAGTCCGCTTCCCTCGCTACGTTCGCTCCGTTACGCTCGCAGGCATCAGCCTGCCCTCTTCCTTTGTCAATATATGAGCCATACCAACATTTTTCTTCTAATATTTTATTCCATGTGCTTCAATCTTGGTAAATGAAATTGGAATAAATCCTCCATAATTACTCTTACCAAACATATGCATCTAATCAATTCAGAATAAGAATTAGCAACTACAAAGGGGTTAAGCCGCGCTCAAGCTCTTGTAGAGTCGAGTCAATAAATGAGGTCGAGCTCGTAGAGCTGAGTTCGAGCTCTTATTTAACCGACTGATAAAAGAAGTTGATGCTAAGTACTCGAACCATAACGAACTAACATATAATAAAAATTTTAAATATATACATAAAAACCCTTATGAAATTATCAAGCATAACGAGTCACTGTTGACTCGAAATTCGTTTGATAAACGGGTCGAGACGAACATAGCTTTTTGAAAACTCGCCTAATTCTATATGAAACAAGTAATTGTTGTGCAAAATAGGCCAAAAACCAAGATTTATTTATTTAACTAAAACTTGTGTTCTAATGATTCAGAATCTCATTCGATGGGATGGGATATTGTACGTGCTATGATTTCATAGGTTTGCACTAATATCTCTTCTTGGACACATCTAAAAAGACAGAAAAAAAAAAAAAAAAAAAAACCATATAAATATAGAAACGCATCAAAACATGCACAACACTTTATATCATTAGTGAAAATTCTACTTTGACAAGGGTAGACGATTCAAAGATTCCAAATTCTTGCAAAAGTAATATCAAACATCTTTGGCAAAATTATAATTTTAGTCCCGTTAGTTTGATTCAGTGACGTTTTTAGTCATAAGAGTTGTACATTTTTGCTATTCTGTCATATGATTTTTTTTTTGGTACATGGACCTTCCGATTTCTGGATCCACAGGGAAACCGACTAATCCTGAATTGAGCCGGGTAGGACCAGGCGGCAAAGCTCTCCCTCAAGAGTTTTAACACTGCTGCATTCCCAGAGCTCGAACACGAAACCACTGGTTAACCTGGAAGAGACCCAAGTCATCTCATCCAAGCGCTCTTGGGTTAGTCATATGATTTTAAAATTCAATGCAATTTCAGTCATTTGTGACTGAAAATACAACAAAATTTAAAATTACAAGACTTAAATTGCTAATAGAATAAATTTTCTATTAGCAATTTAAGTCCTGTAATTTTAAATTTTAATGCAATTTCAATCTCGAAGAACTGAAATTTGAGCAAAATACTAAATTACAGGATCAAAAGACAAAAAAGTTGAAATTTTGGGACTGAAAATGCCACAACGTTAAACCAACATGACTAAAAATGCAATTTTACCAACATCTTTATATCTCTCTCCTTTTGTTCTTGTTAGTCAACCATTTTTGTGGTCACATTGCATGCAATTCTGACATTTGGAATGGGCATTTATCAACAAAATTGAGAATATAGTTATCACTTGTATTTATTCTCATCTAAAAAAAAAAAAAATTAAAAAAAAAAAACAACTTTTTTGGCCTATATATAGTCGGCCTTTCATAAGCAAAAATTGGTGTAGGATGATGTTTTGCAAGCACACACAATATGTATTGCTTGAATATGATGAGAGTGCAGTCAAGCCAAGAATGAATTGCCGGCCAAATTGATGAGTACATAATAATAATCTTCTCTCTTTGATCATTTGGGTCACTGTGAAGTTTATATATTGTACGTTTTAAGTCGGCAATTTATTCTTGGCTATATTGGGCTCTCTTCTTCTCATGTAATATACTTGTGTGGGGGTCATAGGATATGGGTGTTATCATGAAAGGTAAAGATAGAAAATAAAATGTTTTTAGAATTAAGGTAGCAAATGCAATTGTATTTTATTTAAATAAAATTAATTTGAAGAATGGATGTCAAATTTAAGAATCAATTGATTATTATAATGGGATTGATGTGATATGAATGGTAATAAATAAATGTGATGTGATTGGAAAATAACAAAATAATAGTTAAATGTTACTTATGAGCACATAAGGGAATTAATAGGGCAATGCTATATGTACACCCCTTTTTAATAAATTACACAAAGGGCAATGCTATATGTACACCCCTTTTTTACACACAAGGGGGTGTACATATAGACACCCCCAATTAATATTAAGTCTTACAAAGATTGTGAAGTAATAATTGGTTAAAAAATATATTGGCAAAGTAAAAGGAGAAAAGATGAGAAAAATAGAGATTAGTAAATTATACTTTTTTTTTTTTTTTTTTGTTTGCGAATAAAATTAAGCTTTTCATGTAATAAGCTGGTCGCGGGGTCTGTGGTCATGGCCGCCGGTGGATGGAGCTTGCGAGGATGAAGGTCGTTGGTTGGTGGTAGAAAATAGTCAGGTGTTGGGTTGTTGTGATCAGTAGGTCGCTGTTGTGGTCGTTGACTGGTCGCGGCTGAGTGGGGGATAGGGTTTGGGAAGAAATTCTGTACACATGCCTTAAATAGGCAGCCTGTCTATGAGCTCGTGGAAATCTCACCAGCGTGCGAGTACGCATGTCCCGCGAGCAACAGACGGACCTGATTCGCATGCATGGTGCTATTGAAGGAGGCTTCTGCGGTCACTGAATCGTCTGCCAGCGGGCGAGCGTGGTTGGTCTACGGGTCGTCGAAGGCTTCCCACAGGGGGGGGGGGGCTGTAGTTAATTATGCCCGCGAGTTGCAGGTGTGCCTGCCAGTATGCGAGTATAGTCGCTTGGGGCGATTTTGCCGGCCTCGCTAGCAGACTGGTTCTAAAGATCACGCGCGAGTTAGCGAAAAGCCTCGCGACGCGAGCTTGTTGTTACTGAAAATGGTGCCCGCGGGCGTGGTCACCGAGACGTGAGTGGATGAAGTCCGGATGAGCAGTCCCGCGAGCTAGCGTGTGGACCCGCCTAGAGGGCCAAACGAACTGATAACGCTCACATCAGTTTGACTGCTGCTCGCCATTAAAAATTCCAACCCACATTTCATCAATTTTTTCTTCTTTTTTTTTTGTTTTTTACTTGGGGCTCGACACTAACAAGTCGGTACTGCCGAGCAGCTCGACACGAGCTTGCTTTTCATATTTTTAAGATAGAGTGAAGAAGTTCAAAGAAAAACAAAAATGTGGGTTGCCTTCCACAAAGAGTCGATTTAACACATGAGCTTCAGAATCCATTGGCTCACGGATAAACCACATCCTCGAGGATGGTATAGTTCACTTTAACTTCATTTTTTCCCCCCTTCAAATAACGGTTAATGTGATGTATGTTTACTTGGAATGGGGTTTGGTTGTTCGAGTTAAATAGCTTTACCACTCCATAAAGGAAAAATTATTTGATCTCGAACGGTATGTTCCATCTTGAATTCAATTTTCTTGGAAAATGTCGAACCCTCGAGTTATACAATAAGCCCTTCGTTCTGGGGTCTAGTTCTTTCCTTTAAATATTTGCATCATGTCAATTCTTGACCCTATCCTTTTGGATCTTTGCATTCTCATACACCTCATTCCTCAATTAATCTATATTTTAGATTGTTATGGTCCATTTATAAGCTCGATACTCTACTTCAATCGGAAGATGTCACGATCTGTCGTAGACCAACCGAAATGGGATAATTCCAATCACGCCTTTATATGACATTCCCTGGGCCATAGTGCATTCCCATGTTTTTGAGACCAATCATGTAGGGTTGCATTCACGGTCTTCTGAAGGATTTCTTTGATTTGCTTGTTACTCAGTTTTACTTTCCCAAAAGTTTAAGGATGATAAGGTGTGGCAAATTTGTGAGCTGTTCCATTCTTCTCCAAGAGATTTTTGAACACTCGGTTGAAAAAATGTGCACCTCCGTTGCTCATAGTGACTCGTGGAAAGACAAAGTGATTTAATATGTGCTATTGATTAAATTTCACCACAACCTTTGCATCACAGTGTCGAGTCGAGATTACTTTTGCCCACTTAGAGACACATTCTACCACCATGCTCATTCGTGTGTACGGCCATTAGCAGATGTCGGCAAAGTTGTTGTCGGTGTCCTGCACATAGTCTGCTCTCGCAACAACACGTCAGCAGCTCATCGACAACCGCAGTTGGCCCGTTACCAGCCCATCAGAGCATGCTCGAGCCATCGCACACACGACATCGATAGAGATTTGTCGAAGGAGAGCGCCCAAGCAGGTGCGACCAGCTTCTGCGAGCTACCGTTGGACTTCAAGAGCAAATGCTGGAAAAGAATTCTTGTATGATTATAATATTGAAACTTAAACTGCATAATTTAATTGTATTGAAACTTCATTTCTTATTATATTGGCAAAAAATTAAAACTTTAATTGCATAAACTATTAGATCAACACGAAGAACTGATCGAGAAAGGAATACCAATCGGCGTGTGCGAGGTGGTACACGTCTTGTCGACCGAGATGGATTTCGTCAAGTCAACCCTAAAGAACATCGTCTAAGCCCAAGAAACCACACAGGACCCAATCAATTTTCGACACTGAGGTAGGCTTACAACAAATGCCTGATCAAGTACAACCTCTCCATGGACCTATTAATCAGAGCCAAAAGGAGCGTGCGAATCGTCAAGGCGAATTAAAGCCGAAAGTACTCTACAACAAATGCATGACCGAGTACACCGGCGGTTTACTTACACTAGTACTCGACCCTGTGCATTTGCAAAGATGTAAATAAAGTATTGTGGGTTATTTGTATGTATATAACGATTAATTATTTTTCTTTCACCTTTTTGCTGGCCAAATTTATAATTAACGAAGTTGGAATATTTATTTTTTTAAATTACGTTTATTTGATTGGATATAATGTATATTTTGGTACGTCTTTTTTTATGAATTATTTATTATTTATTTATGAATTTCAAATACATTTTTTATTTAAAGAAATAATTTAAATAACCACAATAATAACATCTAATCACATTATACGGTCAACACATTATATGGTCAATTGTCAGTAATCAAAAGTTTAAAATAATTTTTGTAATTTTGAAGTGATTAGTTTTGATTAATTTTTTTTTTTGGTCGGAACGATAGAAGTACTATAGATAAGCGCACAAATGTGCGAAAATACAAACTTGGAGGCTAGACCGAGGTCCGCCTAGAATCGCTAGCAAGGCTAGAAAGAAAATGACTCAAACACCAACACAAGAACCAACAACACTGACAAAATGAAACGACCCCATCGGGGCGATGTGGAACGAACCCAAACGAGGTAATGTGGAACGGCCCCAAACGAGGAAACACCTGTACGCAAACGGGCTCACAGGGGCCAACGACCCAAACCAAAAACACAATTCCTAATACAAGACAACACATACAACACAAAACAGACGAAACAACAAAACACAAATAAAACAAAAGACTATTACAAATAAAACAAAGAAAACTACAAAAAATAAGAGCCCTTCCACAGCAAATCTACCGAATGAATAGTCGACCCGAAGAAGAATCCTCAGCCCGAGAAACCGCCGAAACTGCCGAAAGGCCTATCTGAAGCGGCAACCCTGGCCCCAGACCCAACCAATGACCAGACCCTCCCCTTCGCAGAAGCACAAGAAACCCAAATCACACCCCACAACACCAATGTCCCGAAACCGGCTAACACCACTAGCCAAAGACGGAAGCACTGGCCTCCCCCGGGCTCAACACCAGAGCCACAGTAGAAAGGGTTTGAAAAGGCACCTCAGCCCGCACGATGCACCAGCTGCCACACGGTCATCCACAAAGAGAAGAACGCAACCCCGAAGACGGCTCCCGAAACTGCCAAACGAAGGCCTAGCGGAAAACCCCTTTGAAAACTGCAACCCACTCATAAAGATGACACACCCCACGACCAGAAGAGGAGCAAAATCCACCACCCCACCTCCGTCGGCGCGAGCTCGACTAACACCACTAGTCGAAATCAACCGAGCAGAGGCTCCCTGAACCCAAATCAACAGGAACAGAGGAGGAGGGCGAGAAGGAGCCACAACCCCCGCCCCGACCAGTCCGACACCAACGTGTTGCAACCGGCCAGCCACACCAAGCCCAGACTGAAAAACCCCTCCAGCGTAACTCCAACCAAGAGAAAGACGGAGCCCCCGCAGATCCACGGAACAGACTCCCGTTGTCATCCTCACCTGCAAGCGGCGAGAAGAGGCGCCAATCGGACCAAAGGCGTGCGGCTAGGGGGGCGACCGCCGGTTAGGGGTCCGGCAACCCACTGAGGAAGGCGACGAAATCAGCAAGTCGACGACTAGGGTTTGAGAGGTTTTCGCGAGAGAGTAGAGTTTAAATATGTTAAAATTTCATTAAGTGATTGATGTTGTTTTGATTATTTAATAATTAAATGAAAGATTAAATACATCAAAAGTAACGGTTTTTAGAGGGAAAATGGTTAAATTGCCACATATGTAAAATTAAATAGGTTTTATTAAATGTTGTTAGCTAGTAATTATATATATATATAGATACCGTTTGGCGACGAGTAAATTATTCTGGAAAAATAGCCCAAAATCCCAAACAAATCTTGGCCAATACTTACCGACAGAGTTGAGAGACGAGCGGTCGATGAGAAGCGATGGTGAGATGGACACAAACGACCGGTTATGAAGATTTATGAGATTTTCAGATCATATGTGAGAATTTATGAAATTTCGATATCCATGTCTATAAAATATTTATGAAATTTTGAGATCATAGGTGAGAGCTGCAACCCTAGGGTCCATTATCTTCAATATCTGAGATTTTTGATACTGTGAGAAGCAGACCGGAGAGCTCCGCCGACGGGGAGGAGTGGTACGGCTCCGATTTGTTCCTCTCCCTTTTTCAACTTTGTAATATATATATAAGTATGATTGAGGATTTATCTCCAATTAAATCCATTTTAATTTAGTTATGCTTTATTTTAGGAGCATAGAGTTAAGTGGAAGAAAATAGTGGGATGAGGTAGAGCAGTCCAAAAAATAAAAGTTGAAGAACTCAGAAATCCTATGGAACCATCGAATGACTCCCTTATGGAGTCATTCATAACTTTATGGATTGATATGTGTCTAATGTATATTTAATGCATGACACGTGTGAATACAATATTTGTATAAATATGATTGATTTCATAAGTCGAGTCATTGAATAACTCCATAACAAAATCGCTTAAGAAATGATGGGGAAAATAAAACAAAAGTGACAGCAAAACAAAAGAAAAAAAAACAAAAAAAAAAAATTCGAACAGACGACCAACCCCACCTGACAAGTGACAGCGTGCAAGTGGTGGCGCCCAATTGGCCAATCGCCCACCACCATTTCTACTCCACGCGCTCATCCCCCGCATGTGCCCCCAACAACTCCCACAAACTTGATTTACCAAAAACATTTAAATTAAGAGTAAATTACAATTTTAGTCCGGTATGTTTAACTACTTTAATTTGTTCGTCCTCTTTGTATTTTTGATTTTCGTCCAATATATTTGAAAAAATGTTACAAAAAGATTATTTTCGCAACAAAAAAGTCCTTTATGTTTTACAAAAAAGTATTCCAATTTCGTCCTTTATGTATGAAAATGACCTTTGTGCAATCTTTTTTCAAACATACAGGACGAAAATCAAAAACACAATTCGAAGATTACGAAAAAGTTAAAATAGTTAAACATACGGAACTAAAATTATAATTTAATCTGTATATTTAATTGTGCAAAAACTCAATGTTGTTGTCCTTTGAATTTCGTCAAATAACGTTCAACTCCAATTTTCTCGTTGCCCCAAAAAATACACAGACAAGAACACTGATTCGATTATCGACGAAAAATTCATTCTCATATCATATGCATGATGTGTGAAATATTTCTGTAATAATCCAATCTGCATACACACATTCACTTTCTTTGTGATTTTGTTCAATTGTTGATGTACTCTGGATCTCATAAACACGTACATACGGGCGCACATTCACAAAGCACGAACCATACTGATCCTGCTGCGATTGGCTCAATCAGCTCCGATCGATCTGGGTTTTTTTCGTTCAGCTCTTTACTGTTCAATTGATCAGGTACAAATTCACCTGTGCATTCATTTTGGTCGCGGGCTGCCAGAAGAGTGATTTGTGTCTAATGCTGTCAATGGAGATGACACGTTTTGTGTGTGTGTGTGTGTGTGTGTTCGTCGTGTGCTCGTGTGTGTGGCTTGATTTGATTTGTGCGGTTGATTGGGTGTTGTGTTGGGTAGGTTTTTCTGGTGAGTTTTGTTCCTGGATTTGAGCTGTGATTTAGTGTCTAACAATGGATGTGATTCGGGTCGGGGGTCGGTTTGTGATTTCATTGCAGCTTATGGTTTTCCTGGGTTTCGTTTCGGCTTTTCTAGGGGGAGAACCTGAGAAATTTGAGTCTGCAAATGGGTTGTATTATGTTTGCTACTGCTTGTTGGCTGTTCGATCCCAATTATTTGCAGCTCATTGGTCTAACCGTATGGATTTAAAGTTCTGGCATTATTGATATGAAATCTTTGCTATCCTACTGTCCCCTTTTCTCTCATGTATTGCTCTTTTGTCATGGTGAAGTGTTGATAAAGGTGCTTCTGTAGGTAGATTTGAATGTTTTTGGGTTATTATTTACTAATAAACTGAATTTTGATTTTCAATTATGAACCTACATGCAAAGTCTACACGTATTCACAACAGATTTGAGCTATAATAATCAGCTGTTTCTGGTGTTTAAGGTCAATTTGTGCCTTTAAAGCATTTGAACTCAAGAGAAGTACTTTTGGCAAATAAGTATTCGTTCATCTGAACTCACCTTCCTTGGTTATTCCGAATGTGGCTCTCATTTCATTTTGAGATTGTCTTGAAAGTTGAAACTGTGGTAGTGCATTGGGCTATGAGTCCTCATGCCAGTTCGACATATATATATCATCTATATCTTCCGAAAGTTTAGATTCTTATTGGATCTTGTGTTTCAGGGTCAGCTTTAGGAGCGTTACTTCGGTGCATTATGTATGCAAGAAGTTGTGGAACAAGATTTTTCTGGAATTGACTTGTGATGCATTGTCTTTAGATGAAATCAGCTCAGGCTTGGCATCTAGGCATGAAGGACGTACAAACATTAATACCCCGCCACCGTAGTCATTTAAAGAAGCCAACATGGATTATCGTATTGATTTTATTAGTTTGCTTGTTTCTAGTTTGTGGATATGTTTATCCCCCTTACAATTCTGCGGCATGCTATGTATTCTCATCTAATGGTTGCAAGGCGATACAAAATTGGCTTCCTCCTGCGCCTGCCAGAGAACTAACTGATGATGAAATCGCTTCTCGTGTCGTAATTAGAGATATACTGACAACTCCTCCTGTTATATCAACACAGCCCAAAATTGCATTCTTGTTTCTGACTCCGGGTGCTTTACCATTTGAGAGATTATGGGATAAATTTTTCCAGGTACTTCGTTCTCTCTCCTCTCTCTCTCTCTCTAAAATTCTTTTTTGGAAGATAAAGATCTTCTGCAGTCTGTTCAGAGAATTTCTGGTGGAACCATTTGCAAACTAATTGATGTGACAAGTAGCTTTATTTTGTGTAATGTCGAGGCTAACATGTTAAACTGTTACCACAACTGGCATCACCTATTCAAAATACATATGATTTGAATTGAATAGCTTCTGCAGCATGAGATTGCACTAATATTTCAGAAGTAAGTCCATCAAAATTTGATTATCATGTGGTTTTACATAAAATCATTTACAACTATGTTCTGCGTATGCGGGGTGGAAGCATGTTAGGCAAATCATTAGAACGATATGCGATTCTAGAGATGGCAAGGATGGTAGAATTAGCTAATGCCTTTAATTAATAAGGGCGTTCTATAAGTATCAGCTGCCGGAAAGGCCCGAGAAAGAGAAGAACAGTCCCCCATTATTGGTTGTTAGAGAATCAAAGTAGACTTGCCAATTAATCACGAAATGCTATGATGTGTCATACAATAAGCACAAGTAAAATAGTTTTAAGAGAAGACTGGATGCAATTCTAAAGATCGCAGTGATGATAGCAAGAACACTTTGTGAATTGCATGAAGGAACACTCTTCTGTTTAATTTATTAACATGGTTAAGCGTTCTAATATGTATCTTTCAAGGGTGTCCAAACTTTTAACTAATCGAAGACATAATTTTCCTCAATCTTCCCTTCATACGACAGGGTCATGAAGGTAAATTTTCTGTATACGTGCACGCTTCCAAGGATAAACCTGTTCATTTCAGCCGTTACTTTCTCAATCGGGAAATTCGCAGTGATGAGGTTCGTTCTAATTCTTTTATTGGTCCTATTTATTGTGATTGGGCAAATGATTATCAGTTATTCTTCCTTGGTTTTTGTAATGTTATGCCCATTTATTGTAATTGAGTCACTGGCCTTTGACATTTGAGTTTATGTATAGTGTCATAACATGTTTGATTTTTTCTGAATACCTATCTTCTCTTACAACTTACCATGGACAATGTGCTGTGAATTGATGTTTATAAAGTACATTATCTGTCAGTATTTGTAACAGGGTGCAAACTGAGAAGATTTGGTTGTTTGTCTGTGTCCTTTTCTTTTTGTCCTTTGTGATTTTATTTATTTATATTTCATGTCGGTCAAGTTCACTATTTTCTTAATTATTGTCATGGCTGCATATCGTCAGGTCAAAAGTAAGAGAACCCTGCAACTGTGAGTAGATTGGAACGCATTAGTTTATTTCATATGAATGATTCTGAATTGTAGGTAACGTGGGGAAAAATCTCAATGGTAAATGCAGAAAGACGGCTTTTAGGTAATGCACTTAAAGATCCAGACAACCAGCATTTCGTACTACTTTCTGACAGGTCCTTATAGAATCACTTTTAGTTGAGTTCTTTCTTCTTTGAGGCCAAATTCATGCAAACACCAGCGATACTAATGGTTCAATTTTATTGCAGCTGTGTTCCTCTTCGTAATTTTGATTATGTGTACAATTATCTCATGTACACAAACGTCAGCTTTGTAGATTGGTAAGTGCACCCCTTGATTTTTGCTCTTTCTTCTTGGTGGCTAATGTTTTTATAGCCTCAACTCTGAGGGGTAAAATGTGTGTAATAATTAGCAGAAGCTTTTGCATATATGGTTTGAATATTGAAACAACTCAAATAAAGAACTGAAATTTAAATGACCGCTCAATTTCCCTTTTATTTCCAACTACATACAGTACAACTACTAACATTATTATAGCTATTTTAAATATGCTCAATAATAACAGTAAACTTGTCGATAAGAGTGCAAAATAAATTAATGGTTTAGATTTTAGAATATAATCTCTTTTGATTTTCATGGAAATAGAAAGCATCATATTTATACACTACAACTTAGTCAATTAGCATTGGTATATATATGACCCGTGATTATTAATAAATGTGACGTATAAGAATTGATCAGATTTTCTGCAGCTTTGAGGATCCTGGTCCACATGGAAGTGGAAGGTATATTGAACATATGTTACCTGAAGTTGAGAAGAGAGATTTTCGAAAGGGTTCACAGGTGTGTTTTTATTATTTAAAATCACTGCAGTAATTTGCAATTCGGACAATATTCTCAAGATTTTAAAGGATTGACGAGGAGGACAATCAGCTATATTATCTATCATACACATTTTATATTTTTCATATATTTTTAAGGAGAAGAATATTACAAAACCTATCTTGCATTTAGCATGCACAACTGGATCACAGTTACGTACTCACTAGTAGTGCCCATTTATTGCCTCCGCAGGATCTAAGATCGTTTGAATTGAAATTACTCTATTGGTGCTTGCTCAATGCGACTTTTTTTTTCATGTTATAAGCATCTCTTTATTTCATGCAGTGGTTTACACTGAAGCGGCAGCATGCTATTATAATAATGGCTGATAGTCTCTATTACTCTAAATTCAGGGACTATTGCAAGGTAATCAAGGTTTCCTGTACATATATATTTTTTTTTTTTTTTGGCAATTTTTAGCTTCCTTTCATTTCACAGTTCTTACTCACCTTTTATTACTAGATATATTTGGACTTAATCAGTTGAAGTCCTTGTCAAATTTGTGGTTTTATATAAAACTCTGTTTTGAGCAAGTACAAAAACTTTATAATACTCCTAAAATTTTGCACTCAAGAAAAGCGGGGCAGTTTATTGTGATTAGTTTGTAGGTTCTACTTCCTTTAAAAAAAATAAGTAATTAAAATAGCATTTGTTATTTAGTGTTTTAACGATCACATATTACATTATGACTCAAGTACCATTACCATGTGTATTTCTGATTTAACAGCCGGGAATGGAAGGAGGACGCAACTGTTACTCTGATGAACACTATCTGCCCACATTTTTCTATGTGAGACATTTTTTGCTTTTTATATTTTTAGGCAGCCCACCATTTCTATGTGACAATTTTTTGTTTATGATGTTTTCATTCCTTTTTTTTTTGGTTATCTATAATCGTGCCTCGCCATTTTCAGATGCTTGATCCAGCTGGAATAGCTAATTGGTCCGTAACACATGTCGATTGGTCCGAAATGAAGTGGCATCCAAAGTCATACCAGGCTCAGGATGTTACATTAGGACTGATTAAAAGTATTACTGTACGTCTACAAACTTTTACACCTACTCAATTCATACGATGTCTTCTGAAACTCAACTTTAACTTTTCAAGGTTGTGTTTTGGAGGCATTATTTTGCTACATAGTTGTACCTTAATGCTCTGGCATGAAATTTATGGAAAATTTATCTAAAGTTGTAGACTGAAATGCATGACTCATCGAGTCATTTTTTTATGCGATACTGCAAAATTTTGTGAATTAGTCATTTTTTTTTATGACTATTAACTTCCTCCAATTGATTGTGCAGTCTATTAGAGAGAGCATACATGTTACAAGTGATGAAAGGGTTAGTATGTTCTGTGCCTTACTCTGTTAAAGTTCTTAAACGTATCAGTGTTCTCATGTAAATTAATTATGTTTCTTGATTGCAGAGAGAAATTCAGATTAGGCAGTGCCTGTGGAATGGAAACGAATGGCCATGTTACTTATTCGGCAGGAAATTTTTGCCTGAAACTCTGGATATTTTACTGCATCTTTTCCCAAATTACACATCTATTTGAGTGGGTTCTTTTAGCTCAGTGTTTATTTTTCGGTCGATTCATGATTTACGGTTGACCCCATTTGTCGCCCCATTTTAGTTTAGCTTCTGCTTTTGCGAGCATGCCCAGGTTCATATAGGATTCGAGTCTCCCTATGGTGGCTTCTTTTAACCGCAAAGGCAACTGGCACTGAAACCTGTGCTGGCTGCAGTAAGACTTGGTGTGCTGCCCTTTTGTAAAGTGGTGATTATTGAAACAAAAAAAATTGTGATTATTAAGAGCAGCGAACGTGTGTTCCTCTTTCTTTTTCTTTATATTTTTTTTTTTCTATAAATTTTGTTAGCCAGTTCTCTCGACTCTATGTTCCCAGACGAGACGTCGAAACTGTGAAGTTATAAATTTCTTAGTAGATGCTGTAAGAAAATACTTGGAATAGTATTTGAAAGCCTTCAATGGCCATAGTCTGTTAAAGTAACTCTAATTCATTTGACTGCTTTTTTCTGGAATTTAACTCAATCTGTTCATGCTTACTGGTTTCAATTCTTCTGCTTGCGTTTAGGCATTAAATATAACTACATTAGTCCCATTAGTGAGAGATATGCACTGGATATACCTGTTTATCTTGTGATGCAACGCAACAAATTCGACCATATCCTTGTATCCCGTGGGTTTTATTACCGTATATCTCGTGATTTGTAGTAAAAAATGGGCACGGTGAAATTTCCGGGCATCTTGATTGAAACTGGAAAATCGTAAGATTTTAATGAAATCAATCATCACAATGATGATGCAGCAAATCACGTCAAGAATGCAGTTCTTTCTTGATAAATCGCCTGAATGAATCTATACGGTTAAAATTACTGCTCACATTTAAGCCCAACCTACCTGGCCAGCTGCCATTTCCCCCTAAAATCTCCATTTAAACCTAGACGTGGCCACAGGTTACCCAGCCCGCCGGCTCGGTCAAACCCGTTGGCCACGAGTCCGGGCCCAGCTCGGATTTCAACCGGCCTGTCCAGGGCCTTGTTTCTGTCTACCTTTGTCCACCGGGCTGGGCCGTGTCCATGCTGGCCCGGGAAAAGCACATTGGTTTTATTTTTGGGTAATTTGCACTTACACGTTCCTGATTTCAAAGTATTTGCATTTGTACAAGAGGTGAGATTTTATTTGCATCTTTACCACGAAATATCAATTATTATATCAGTTACCAAATTAAAGTAATTGTCCCTTAATTTGCGCATGGATAAGAGTATAGGATTTGCGCTAAGGAAAAAAAAAAAAATTGGTAAGTTTGTATACCTACCAATTAGGATGTTGTTATACCCTACGAACCGTCCTTAATTATTTTTGGACGCAATAAAAATATAGTACCTTAATTTAGTTTTTTAAATGTGTTATTTATTTTTTCGATATATATTGCGTTTTATACAGAATATATACATAACATATACATATAAGTTCAGGAAATATACGGAATAAACCTAGAAATTTTTTATTTTCAAAATTCTTTTTGTTTACTTTTTTGTTATTTACATCTCGTGTTTTTTTTTTCTGTATATTTATAATATATTTTCTGGTTTAATACATACAAAATACACAATCAAACTTATATATAAAAGATATACTCATTATATACTGACGACATAAATAAAATACACAACAGAAGATAAATCAATTTTTGTCATTATATACATAAGATATACAGAAAAGACATTAGACCACAAATTCAAATTTCAGAAATCAATTCATTTTTTCAGTCGCGAGCTCTCCTCCGGCCTACGTCCGACCAATCCAGCGACCGTCATAGCCACCACGGCATTACCCCCACGACATCCGATTGTCAGCCACAATGACCCGACCACCATAACAAGCCACCACTTTTTTTTTTTTTTTGATCGATGATCCTCTCTGTTGCCGAAAAGGAGATAAGATAATCCTTTTTAACTTGTTGCCAAAAAAATAGATGAAGAGAAAAAAGATCTCCCAGCAAATCTAGAAGAAAATTCACAAAAAGAAAAAAAAAATAAAAAGATGGGGAATATATTTTTATATATTCATCACATCTTTAGTCTAGAAGAGATCCTTATTACAGGCTGTTAATTTAAGGCAAAGTGTGCCTAAATTTCATGTCTCTTTTCTCCTCATGGCTTGACTGGCCTTCCACATGATGGGTCAGCAACAGAGATGAGGCCAACAAAAATTTTTGCGTCGAGACGAGTTTTCTCCATGGATATGACATTTGAAAAAGATAGAGAGAGATGAGGAGGAGAGAGATAAAGATAACTAAAAAAGAATAGAGAGAGAGAGAGAGAGAGAGAGAGAGAGAGAGAAGAGTTATCAATTCAAACCATATAATTAGATGGTTACCTATTCAAAACCAATTTCTAGCATATATGCAAATAATATAATAATTTTAGTTATTTTGCTAATAAATACTCCCTCCTATTCAAAATAAATGTCGTTTTGAGAAGTTGCAAAGTTATTAAGAATAAATTTTTTTGCCAATAATAACCCTCATTAATGAGGATAGAGATAAATATTTTGAGAAAATATGAAGAGTGAATATGAAAAGGCGTAGTGTATTTATTAACTAAATGAGGTAATAATGGAAAAATATGTACAATATATCCAAAACGACATTTATTTTGTTAATAGTTGATAATGCCAAAATAACATTTAAAAAGAATAGGAAGTAGTATATAATAGTTGTAATTCTGCAGTAAAGATGAAATGGGGTAGTAGAATATGCAATTTTCTCTTTATTTTTTTTATTCTTTTTTTTTTTTTTGGCTGGGCCAGGGACCGAGCGCAGCCCTAGCCTGTGCCGGTTCAGGATTCATGTAACCCAACCCTTCGGCCCGCCCCAATGTCTATATAAACCAATTGGAATCAAAATTATATAAAGCCAGAAAATAAAGAAAACAAAAATCATTCAATCGCCCTCCCCAATTCCATAATAGTCGTTTGCTCTCTAAAATTCTCAACCCTAATAGTCATTTATCGCCCGACTCCGCTCTCTGTTCTTTGCCTCCGACTCCGACGCTCCACTCTCCCCCTTAATCCAGGTCATCTCTCCTCTCTCTCTCTCTCTCTCTCTCTCTCTCTCTCTCTCTCTCATCTCTCTCGCATAAACTTCTCCTCATTTCTCATTAATAGTTTCATCTCGTTTTTTCCATGTTCAGAAGCACGAGACGGCCGTCTCCAGGTGGTCCAGAGCAAGAACCAGGGCTGCCAAGCTAAATTATTATTATTATTATTATTATTATTATTATTATTATTATTATTATTTTTTTTTTTTTTAAATGTGCAGATTAGAAAACGGAAGGCTCAAAAACTTGCTTTCCAGCATTATTTTTGATTTATTAAGTATTATTTTTATTTTGTTTTTCAATATTTTGTTTCCGTTTTTCTTTTCTTTTTTTTTTTTTTTTTTTTTTT